ATTGTGTTAGTTATAAGAGTGTTTTATTCATAGCCTAGTGTTGCATCTGCTCTATGTAAAGTCAGTATAGATGCTATAGCATTGAGAAGAGGGGCTCACTGTTGTGTGTGTGTGTGTGTGTGTGTGTGTGTGTGTGTGTGTGTGTGTGTGTGTGTGTGTGTGTGTGAGGATGTATATGGAGATTGTGTGGGTGTGTGTGGGGATCACAGAGTGTGAAGTTGTCTGTTAGAGTGGAAAGGGGTTCTGGTGAGATGTAGTTATGAAAGCGAGTAAAAAGGGCGACAGCTGTGAGGCTATTGAGCGGCACTCGGTGGCCTGACGCTGTCAGTGACCTTGGCCTCTGGAGCTAATGGAAGTAGAGGGCAGCGGGCTTACACTCTGTGCATCTGTCAAACCTCCAGCTGCCCTCTAAATCACACTTCAGTCCCCTCTAGCCGTCTTCATGCTTGTTCCAGCTGGAGTTTTTTGTCCTGTTAAAACAGCTGGAATTGACTTACTGTGGTATCATAGTCGTGGGGTCACAGACGAATGCCAAGCCCTGCAGGTCAGGTTTTAGGTCACAATAATCGTTGCTGCTGCCACGTGGGAACAAACTGTAAGCAGTGGTCAATAACCACACCAAATGCAAGTTTTCTAAAGAGTTATGATGTTGTTCACTTGTAACTGAATCTATGAGCATATGTTGCTTTTACTTTTGGTTATGTTCTGTTATACAATAAAAGTTTTCATTATCCTGCCTTTATAATTGGATTTCGATTGGCACCTTACAGAAAGGGAAATGAAGGTTGTCATTGATCTTTGTTCATATTGATTTGTCTGCGTAACATGAAGCACACAGTGTAATTGATTTGACTGTAGCTTGTAAAAGACTGGTAACTGTAGAAAAGCCCCAGCAAACTGTAACGTAGTGTGTGTGTGTGTGTGTGTGTGTGTGTGTGTGTGTGTGTGTGTGTGTGTGTGTGTGTGTGTGTGTCTGTATTGTGCTGTTCAGGAAAGCTGAAGTGTGTTTATCTGGTGCCCCCTGGCTTTGAATCAGCTTACAACAGGAGGCTGTAGAGGAATCTGGATGCAGTTTGACTTTACTAGAATTGTATGTGTTTTTTGAAAGGTGCACAGTTGAAGTGTATTAATTCACTATAAATTCATACATAAATACATAAAGTACTCTGATTTAAACACATTCACTGATCAAACTCATTATTCAAGAGCAACCACCAGATATTACAAGTTCAGGAGGAGGTTGCGTTACGCTCCTGTCCTCAATACACTAGCCTGAATCTGCCTGTGAGCTTTTTTCTGCTTTCTTTATATATAATCAGTCAATTAATGTTTGGCATTTCACAAAAATGGGAAAAAACAAACAAACTTTCCAGTAATTTAGAAAAAAAAAAAACATGCATGGCGGCATTAAAATATACAATATATAATATTATTAATAATTATTATAACAATAGAGTTATTGTTTATACATATATTGGAACAATACCTGCAATTACTTTGAGTAATTTATGGTAACTCAGAAACAGCACATGAATTTTGATACACCCGTCTATGTCAACATTAAGACAATAATTTGCTGATTTAAAGAAGATTATTGCATGTTAAACAACAACAGTGGAGGAGGCGGATGCCGTCATTCATAGAGCCTGAAGGAGGATCCCATGATGAGGGCTGGGCTATAGACAGGGAGGATGAGTGAGGGAGCAGGAGGGAGGGAGATGCAAACGGATGGTTGCCGTCTCCCTCTCTCTCTCTCTCTCTTATTGTCTCTTGGTCTTCTCCCGCTGTTTACCCTGTGGTGGTGCGCTTCAGCATGAGCTTCAAGCATAAACTGCAGCCTGTGAGTACCTCAGCCTTACTGGGTCTCTCAAACTCCTGCCTTCTTTTTTTTTTTTCTCTTCCACTTCCCTGTTTGTTTTCTACCGTTGTACCTTTTCAAACTCTTCCTCTTCCTCCCTCTCTCTGTCTTCATCCTGCGCTTTGCCATTCCTGCTTATCTACTGTAGCTCCACAGGTGAGCAATGTCAGCTTTCACATCCAGGTTAAGCTGATGCCATGATAGCTTGGCAAGGTCCTGTCAGTCTATTTTCACTTTATTTTGCTTTCATAACATTTTGCATTTGAGTTGCTCCTGTTTTACTGAAGGATTTCACGTACAAACATAGGTGTTGTGTTCATGTTTAGAGTTAAATAAGACAGAATACAGAGAATGCAGTGGCTGGAATGAGTTATATGTGAAGGTTTTTGCACTTTGCATTGTGACTTTATTCAAACATAAGGATAAATGTTGGGTCCTTTTGTTTTGATAGCAGATAAACTAACATCCACAATCATATCTATAGTTTTATTATTGTGAACATTTAGTATTCAGGTTGTTCTTTTTACTATTAGTGCCCTAGAAGGAGCAGTTCCATATATTTCACACTTGGTTTCATGATTTAAATCCTGTTCAGTCTTTACTTGATGCCTCAAATATAATTTCAATCTAATATAAAAATGTATAAACAGTGAACTTTTACTATATTATTATTAAACTTTATTTAATGAGGCAGTCTCATAACGTCATATGTTAATTATGAAGTCAGAGAAGTGACAGAGGGCTGTTGCGTGCGAACTGGTGGTGGTTGCAGTTGTTTTCTGGCTATCATTATGAAACAGAGTGGACAACATCAATAACTTAACATTTCTTGGATGAGTGAACATTTGCTCATGTGTTTACATTATCATTACCGTGTTGTCTTTTCACATCTGTTCAGCCACTGTGGTGAGTTGCCTGCAATGCTCTTTTCCCACCTTAACCTTGTTTCCAAATACAGTATTCAATTGGTCTTAAAAAAATTATTTATGGAGGAAGAGCAGAAGCCAACATCCCTCTGTCAGTAAAGGCAGTTGCATGCAACAATAAAAACCAAACAAGCCTCGGTTATTCCTTGTGAATATCTAACTTAATCCCCCCCTGCTTTTTTGTTTACCAAATATGGCCAAGTACAAACTTAGTGACTATTTGATGATACTTTGTCCTTGAGAAGCAGTTTAATTTGACTATTTCTGGCCACTGTTTTCATCTAGGCTGGGAAAAGTCTAGGCTGGGAAAGTTTTCTTTGAAGAACTTTCCTCCTTGTTCCTGTGTGAGTGTTTGGTTGTAGAGACACAGCAGCCAATCATATAGTCCAGCTTCTTTTGTCGTAGTGACTCTGACCATTATCATGCAAATTAAAAATGCAAATGAGGGGCTAACCACCGGAGGGTTCGAGAGGACATGGAAAGACAACAATGCGCAGCATTTTTTGCATGGGCTAGTTAGTTTGTGTAGGTATGAATATTAGCAAGGGGAAATAACAAATATTGAATTATAGAGATGGTTTGTTTGAGGAGAGCTTTCTCACATATAGTCATTTCAAATATTATGAGATCATCAATCAACCACCTGAGAAATATATCAAAAGTAAAAAGATCACAAACCGATTCTGGTTCAGTTCTCCAGTATTTCTCTGACCTGCTCACTGACTATATCCCCATCAGTGGACCTGCCCTCTGGAAGCCTGATAAGCTGTGATATATAAAAACTGTATCTACATTTAAAGCTAAGCTCAAAACCTTTTGTGTGTTTCTGTCAACCTTGTGTGTATGTATGTATGTGTTTTGTTAAACCACTTTGTTCCATATACTTGATGTTTTTATGTATTTTTAAAATGTAGCACATTGTGTTTTTTGTAATGAAATGAGCTCTATAAATAAAGCCGTGCCTTGCCTGGAGTCCTGACCTTGCAGTTACCAAGAATTAACTAAAATCACTCCTCTGCATGGCGCCCAATCGATGCCGGCACTTTATTTTGGTCCACAATTGAGCAGAACGCTGGTAGGAGGGGGTCACGTGGTCTCGATAAAATGGGGATCACGGGGTGCAACAGAGGCAGGTGAGGCTGCAGTGGGCTCTTTAAAACAGCAGTTAGTGATCTGACTTAGTTAAGTGCCTGTGGAGAGGGGTTAGAGATACACAGAGCCACTGTTGGAGCCGCGTTTGAGGTTTTTGTATAAGTGTTGTTTTTCTGCAAGAGCGATGCAGGAGAGGAGATGGCCACTACACAGCAGGCAGGTAGGGCTGCAGAGGTTTTGGAGGAACCTCCTCCTCTGCTGCTGCAACCAACACAAGGATGAGAACCTGGACACAGAGGCTCTAATTGTCGTGCCGGTTAGTGGGATCTTCATACTCATTTACTGATATACATATACTCGCTTTACTGAATTTACTCACTCATTGTTACTGTTTTCTGCTGGTCTGCCTTTTGATGCAATTAGACAACTCCCTCAGGGAGTGATGTCAGCATTGGATGGATATTTTGTATATTGGTCTTTTTTGCCTCGTTAACGGCTGGAGTTGTTTCTGTTTCTGTTTTTTTTTTTGCTGCGTTAATAATTTGACTGAGTATGGATATGTCGCTCTTAAATGGCAGTGAATTTGTCTCCTGTTAAACTTGGTGAGAGCTTTTTTGAGGAAGTTGTTACTTACCTTCAGGCTCAGAACATCATACATTGTGGCCTGATTGGCTTTGACAGTGTCTACAAACAAGCATTAATATATAGTATGTGCAGCAGCCACTAATTACAGCTGTGTGTCAGTGTCTCAGTAATGAAAGCATTACTTTTTCGGGTTGTAGTCTGTTATATGTTTTATGTTTGTTATATGTTTTAATATTTTTATTTTTCTTGTTGCAAAGTAATGTTTATCCTTTTGGATTGTTTTAGTATCCAGCTATTGCTTATTACAGTGTTTGCAAGTGTGCACTTTCTATGTTTTCATCACCTCTCAATCTCAACAGATAAATCAACTAACGGAAAGAAAAAATCTTTCCTGTTCCTGTTTGAAAATTATGCTTCATGTAGTAAAATGTTTTCAGCTCAGTCATTATAAAAAAATACATCAACACACTAGTTTTGGATCCTACTATCCAACCACCATTATTGATAAAATCCTAACCATCCTGTCCCTGTCTCCTCAGGTGTTGTCCCTCGGTGCTGACGTGCTGCCAGAGTACAAGCTCCAGGCCCCACGCATCCACAAATGGACAATCCTTCACTATAGCCCCTTCAAAGCGGTATGGGACTGGGTCATCTTGCTGCTGGTCATCTACACCGCCATCTTCACACCATACTCGGCCGCTTTCCTCCTCAACGAGGTGGAGGAAGAGCGGAGGAGAACCTGCGGCTACACCTGCAACCCTCTCAACGTGGTGGACCTGGTGGTGGATGTCATGTTCATCGTGGACATCCTCATCAACTTCAGGACCACCTACGTCAACCACAACGACGAGGTGGTCAGCCACCCGGGACGCATTGCACAGCACTACTTCAAGGGCTGGTTCCTCATCGACATTGTGGCTGCCATCCCCTTTGATCTGCTCATATTCCGCTCGGGGTCTGAGGAGGTGAGAAACAAGAGGAGACAGCAGTTGTCAGTGGCTTCGCAACATCAACACATATATTTTTACTTCTCTCAGTGTTGTCTGACAAAGTTAAATATACCTTTTTCATAACAGACAAAAGGTCAAACAGCAAAACGGGTCTGCGTATAACAAATTACATTAATGATGATTCCTAGGACTCATGTAGTTGTTTAATCCCATCAAAAGACTTGTGGTTCTTATCTTCATCGAAATGACAGTGTTCACATCCTGCGAGACGCATACCATAAAAGCACAGTGTCTTCAGTTTGAATCTGGTTTGGGAGATTGTTTCATGTCATACCCCTCTCTCTCCGTGTTTTCTGTCTCTATCTCGACTGTTCCCGTCTTTACTATTGTACAGTAAAATTACAGCACAATAGTAGATAATATGGACAAAAACCAAACTAATAGGTTGAAACTTTTCAGAAAGACCAATTACGGAAACTCCAAGAGGCTGGCTAAGTGTGTAGGACTCCCATTAGTCACCCTTCAAGCTAAATTAACAATACAAGGTTGCATGCTACTTTGCAGAGACATCCACCCGTCGGATGAATTGGTTGTCAAGTTAATTGGAAACAAGACATGCAGTTGCAGAACCATTGTCAATTTTAGATATACAGAGTTTTGAGACAATGAATCCATTTGTTGCCTAAATGTCTTTGCATAGTTCATTGTGTCTGAGCGTTACGATATTAATGGTGGGGTGGAGGGGATTGAGTGTCAGGCTATCATACTGTTTCTATTTAAGTTGGGTTTTTGCTTTATTTTGACCAATAATTTGATTTGCTCTTTTATATGTCAATTCCTTGCATGCTAGAAACTTCAATTTATGTCTCAATACACTAGCTTATATCACTAACACAAAGTCTACTCTCTCTCTCCACCAGCCTCAGACAACCACTCTGATTGGATTACTGAAAACAGCCAGACTGCTGAGGTTGGTACGAGTAGCCAGGAAGTTGGATCGTTATTCAGAATATGGAGCTGCCGTCCTTTTCCTTCTCATGTGCACCTTCGCCCTCATCGCTCATTGGCTGGCCTGTATCTGGTATGCCATTGGTAACGTGGAGCGCACAGGCTCTGCTCGAATTGGAGGCATGAAGATCGGCTGGCTGGACAACCTGGCTGACCAGATTGGTAAACAGTACAATGACAGTGACGCAGCCTCTGGCCCCTCAATCAAGGACAAGTATGTTACAGCCCTGTACTTCACCTTCAGCAGCCTGACCAGTGTAGGTTTTGGGAACGTCTCACCTAACACCAACCCAGAGAAGATCTTCTCCATCTGTGTCATGCTCATTGGCTGTGAGTAGAGTGGGAGTGAGTCTGAAATGAAGCCCTTTTAGGGCAAGCACCCTCTAAAACAAATAAAATACCATCGGTTAAAAGCAGTTATAGTTTAATGATGAAGTTTTCTGCATTTGCAAGAGAGAAACAGAGTCAGTGTCATTGACCTGAACATTTTGTGGCAATATTTGACACTTCAGTCTTTATATTGTTCATATTTTCATGCTATAAAATACAAATATTTTGTATTTCCTGTAGACTTATATGTTTGCTATGGTGGTAAAGAATGTAGTCCAGAACTTACATCATAATGGGACGCTAACATTTTCCACTGAATTAACGTTAAATAACAAAATTCTTCAGGGGGTTACCTCTCTGCATGTATTTGACTGCACATTAAACTCTGGTGTAGTAGATTATATCTTAAAATAGAAATGTTATCAGACAATTAATTAAATAGCATAACAGGCCACTACCTATTATTCTAACGTTTCTATTATTTCAAAATTCATATTGTTCTTAAATACTGGCAAACTGAAAGAAAGTGTGAAAGACAATCTTGGTACTTCTAATGACCAAATCACTTAATTGAATTTTACAATTTCTTAAATATTAAAGGACAGCTTCCTCAATTTCTTCTGATTGGATTCTGTTGATTGTTTGTTGAGTAAATGTATGAATTATTTGCATTTATGCAATTTTTGGTATCATCAATTCCTGCAACATACAGTATTTCTGTCGTCTATCCCTTGCAGCTCTGATGTACGCCAGTATCTTTGGTAACGTGTCGGCCATCATTCAGAGACTGTACTCAGGCACTGCCCGTTACCACACCCAGATGCTGCGGGTCAAAGAGTTCATCCGTTTCCATCAGATCCCAGGAGGCCTTCGACAGAGGCTGGAGGAGTACTTCCAACATGCCTGGTCCTACACCAACGGCATCGACATGAACGCTGTAAGTCATGTAGACATTAATGCACACGCTAGTTGTTGGAAAGTAGATGTTTAGACGGTTCATAGAAAAGAAGGAGGTGTTGCTCACAGTAGTTGTGAGGGTGGGGGTATAGCTCAGTGGCAGAGCATTTGACTGCAGATCAAGAGGTCCCCAGTTCAACTCTGGGTGCCCCCTTTCCAACCAAACAACTGATGTGAGCTTTTTGTCTACATAATCCCCAACCACAACTGCTATACCGCCCACTCAGCTGGATTCAGTGTTGAGATGAACCAACAATCCATGTTTAATTTCTGCATAAAATTCTTTATTTATGCCTAAATCAAACCTCCAGGCATTTAAAGTACAAACATCTACTCATTTCTGCATTCATCATCAACATATATACTATACAACTATATATGCATTTGGTATGCTGTCCTCAAAATATCTCAATGAAAGAACTTGCCTTAATAATTAGAATTTGAGGCACTAAAGTGGATGTTAAGAATAATAATACATTTTATTTATTTTTTGATTAAAAAAAGACTGCTTTATAAAATGTATAGCATAACTAATTCTGGTTGTATTTCTATACATCTCATTGCTGTAATCATCTGCAGCATTAGAGTACCTGATATTATGTGTTTGACCAAATGGGTTATTTGCCTTGTTCTTTGCAGCGGCAATGACCCAGTTTTCCCACACTGAACTTTCATTTAATCTTTACTCAAATGAACACAAACCCACGTTGTCTATGTTGCTTTGCAAGTGAATTTACAAAATGACAAATTATTTTTTTCTTTGCCTACCAACAAAACCTTTATCAGAGTCAGCTTTTTCTCTTTACTTCAGAAAAACAGGTTTTTGGATTCAGATATAAATAAATCATCACTGAGATGACATTCAGCAGGGGGTATAGCTCAGTGGTAGAGCATTTGACTGCAGATCAAGAGGTCCCCAGTTCAAATCTGGGTGCCCCCTTTGCTTTTAAACACACACGAGTGTTTTCCACTGAAGCTGCTTCATTGAGAGACTACTTTTTTCATGATGATGTGCGTCATATCTCTGCTTGAGTTTGGGATGCCAGCAGCACCAGAGCACGATGCAGCCAGAGAGCAGCATTAGCGCCTGCCAATTCAATGTGAGAATAGATAATCACTTGGAGCCACTGTCCTTTGTGCCCCGCCTGAATCAATCTGACACATTGCTTTCCTTCTCTCACCCATCACTTTCTTTGTTATATACTTTTCAGACTAATTTTGCTTTGTCCGTGGCTTTAAAGATACAGGTCAAGTGAATGCAGGGAAAAATGAAAACTAACATTTGCAGTAGATTCACCCAGTGCCCTCTGTTGCCCTGCAGGTTTTAAAGGGTTTCCCTGAGTGTCTGCAGGCTGACATCTGCCTCCATTTGAACCGCACCCTGCTGCAGAACTGCAAAGCCTTTCGAGGTGCCAACAAAGGCTGCCTGCGGGCACTGGCCATGCGTTTCAAGACCACCCACGCGCCGCCGGGGGACACTCTGGTCCACAGTGGGGACATTCTCACCGCCCTCTACTTCATTTCCAGAGGCTCTATAGAAATCCTCAGGGACGATGTGGTGGTGGCCATACTAGGTGAGCTTCAAGCTACAGTGGAACTTCTGTTTACTTTGTCTTACTTTTCCAGTAGGGTTGCTAATCAGACATTATTTTCATTATCAGTCATTCATTTAATTAATCAACAATAGTGACCCACGCCCATTACAACATAAAAGTACAGTATTTGTTTTTTCTTCCACCCTCTTTCCCACAAAGCCGCAGCCACAACTCACGCTACCCTTTACACCACATAACACACATACGCACACACATACTCTCTGTGTGTTGTGTTGCCAGAGGTGTTTGGGCATAGCTCCACTTCCATTTCACTGTGACATTGATCATCAATAGGGCCAGCAGTCAAATCCAGTCTGCATAGGTCACTTCTTTTTCAGCTGTGTTTGAGGGGACCAATTTGTGTTGAGTAGCAGTGCTGCTGAGGATCAGTGTCACTCTTGTTTGGGATCAGATTCGTCCATCAAAATGTTGTCAGTAAACTATTTTCACTATTACTAGCAGTGGCTTGCTCACTTGGTCAAACATCTATCGATTAACTGTTACTCTTTTCCATGTGTGTCTTTCCTTTTGCTGTGGTGTCCGTAGGAAAGAACGACATCTTTGGTGAACCCATCAGTCTGTATGGGAGGCCAGGTAAATCCAGCGCTGACGTCAGGGCTTTGACTTACTGCGACCTTCACAAGATCCTGAGAGACGACCTGCTGGAAGTGCTGGACATGTATCCTGACTTTGCCGACATGTTCTGGAACAACTTGGAGATCACCTTCAACCTGAGAGATGTGAGTGCCACCAGAGGGCAATGTTACACGTAGGAACACCATCAATAGTGATCTCAATTCTTTTTCATAATCTGTGCTTAAGAGGTTCCTTATTATTTCATTTTGTTGTACAACCTTGTGTTGTATAATGATAAATAAATTACTTTGATCCTTGATTCATTAATTAACGAATGAAGATAAATTAAATAAGGAAACTGTGGACTTGGTATTGTAAACAAACATCGATTGTGTGTATTCATCAGGCCTCACAAGCATGCCAAAATTTATTTCTTTCCTCATAAAATTTTTTAAAAAAAAGTTAAAAGCCTTTTAAAAAAATGCTTAAAAATCAGCATTTTCAACATCGGCTTTTATTTTCCTATTTTAATAGCGTATTGGCCACCTCTGGCTCTTAGTTGCATCTACGCACCGCAAACTAAGCTCTGTAGTACTGCAAATGGTCACAAACTCCACAGGGTAGATAATAAAATCAAAAAGATATCATTACTTGGTCATACCTGCTTAGACTCTTTGATCTCATGTTTATGTTGTATCCTCATTCTTATGGTGCATTACTCGCGTGAGTATTATACATAATGATGTAAGACAGTCCAAGAATGTATATGTCCTTCAAGTGTGAGATCTGGTGTGTATTTTTGAATTACTGAAGCTGATATGTATCAGGCAGATAGAATAAACCAGACAACCCCGGGCAGGGACTCTGAATGTGGCTACCGCCGGACAAGGCATCGGAGAAGCTCGCTGCGTCGTCGGAACCGACCAGGTGAGTGAAGGACAAGGCCTAACACATATGCTTATGTTCCATCTAATCTCCATACTGTCTTATCCTGGCTGACCTGTGACCCTGTCTGTACAGACGGCATGGACCGCGAAGACTCTTATCCCGATCAGTCCTGTCCCATGGCAAACCACCACCGGGGTACAATGGCAGGATCCCATTGGGACGACCTCTGTAGCAGTGCTAGCATCTGTTCACAGTCCAGTGATGAGGAGATGAAGCCCATGGGGCACAGCAAGGGGGAGCTGTACCCCCCTGGGGGTGACACCAGAGACTACCCACCAGCAGTGGTCAACCTCCTGCCTCACAGTGGACCCTCAGCTGGGATCGGGCCACCTGTAGACCTCGGAGGACCACCATACTCAGGTAAAGACTACCTACATCCAGAATATCCCCAATTCAATCAGGGTAATACATCGGAAAGGTATTGGTATTGGAAATTGAAATAAAGGTGACGGTATCAAGTGACAACTATAAAGTATATCAAGTATAAATGACAGGGATGCATTGTTTGTATTTTGACAGACTAGACACACGACTGTGGGAATATGTCATGTATTTTTTGTCCGATGGCCACCAATAGCATTTTATTCCTTTCTCGTCCTGTCAATGAAAACAAAACATACATTTCGTCCTAGTTTTGATTATCAAAGACCTACTTTGAGCTCATCAATGTCTCCTCTTAGTCATAGAAAAAAAGGTTGTTGATGAACAAAATGAATGCTGATACAGAGTACATGAATTCAAGTCTATAAGTCCCAAGTACTGGAAATAACTAGTACCTAGAAAATTAGACTTGTTACACAGATAATAAACTGTTTCCAACCCTACCCGTACCAGTAAAAACACAACTGAAACTAAAGAGAAGAAAAGTGAAAGTAACATCTGCTAAAATAAAAGAGGTAAAAATAAAGTAACAATATAATTACAAATAACTAAAATCATGCCTGCACTTCAACGTTTGAAACTTCAATAAAATGAGAGGTTTATTAATCCTAATAAATTTAAATCCAAACTAGAATAACCCTGTTAAGTACACCCTGACCTGTCCTCCCACATATTTTTAATGGTTTTATTCAGTAACAGTCAATAAGTTGTGTCTTTAATTAAAGAAAGATTCTTCTTCTTCTGCACAGCAGCAGCCCCTATCAGCATGTCAGGTCTTTATAGCTACTGGCCAGACCGCAGAGCGAGCCAGTTCTCAGAGAGCCAGAGACGATCGTCCTCAGTCAGGGCCAGTTTCCACCCTCCACCCTGTGCTGAGGATCGGCCCAGCGAGCTGGAATCCAGACTGGAGCTGTTGCAGTCTCAGTTAAACAGGTGAGTCGGCTTTTAAAAGAATGAAATTAAAGAGGGGGCACCCGGATTTGAACCGGGGACCTCTTGATCTGCAGTCAAATGCTCTACCACTGAGCTATACCCCCCTTGTGTTGTTACTCAGCAAAGGTGTTACATTTCATTATTATCATGCAATGACTGTTGTTTACCTTCAGGTTCCTCCCTCCCTCTCCTGCTGTGTTTGCATATCAATTCCCAGCTGGTTGTTTGCATGGTGCTAATGTGAGTTGCATGTGTATAAGAGAAAGAGAGGAAAGAGAAGGGAAGGAAAGATCAATAAAGATAAGAAAGGGTCAAGGTTGACTGACACATGCAGGAAAAATGTTTTTGAAATCAGCCAATGACAGTAATATGCTTTCTTTTAACTGCCCATTTGCTTCTACGTGTGTGAGAGAGTGAGGTAATGTAACGAGAGCAAGAGAGAAACCTAGTGGACATTTTTAAAAAAGCAGATGAGAAGACTCTATAAAAGGATTATAAAGCGTTTCATCCAGCATCAAAACAACATCAACAGAACTTTATGTATGTTTTTTTTCTGATAATGAAGATAAAATTCGCGAGGTCACATTCGCTGATGTCTGTCTTTATTCTGCCAAGGCTGGAGACCCGTATGACAGCGGACATCAATGTGATCCTGCAGCTCCTACAGAGGCAGATGGCCCCGGTGCCTCCAGCCTACAGTGCTGTGTCCCCCAGCCCTCACCCGCCTCACCCCACCACCCTGTACAGCACAGGAGCACCTACAATCCACCCTGTCCCTCCAATACAGCCTGTACAGATCGACAGCACTGCCTCACTCTTACAGGTGTTGTGTTCGGTTTACATCCTTAAAGTTAGATAAGTGTGGAAGTAATTTCAGTGATATCAAGCAATTCAATCAACCCTTAAAGTAAAGCCAATACTTAAGTTTGTAAATTAAAGGAGTAGTTGGGGAAATATTCTCATTTGTTTTTATGCAAAGCCAAGCACACTAGTAGCTCTATCTTTATCTATACAGTAGAGGGGTGTCAATTTTCTCATCTAACTCTCAGATGTAAGTGTATTTTGCCAAAATATTCCTTTAAGTGTGAAAATCAGAATCAAAATCAGATTATTTATTCATTAAAATGATCTCTGAATTTCTTTTCAGAGTCCAGACTCTGACTTTAAGCACAAATCCAAGGACTCCCTCTCCAGCGGGATCCATCTCACCGTGGCCTCCGATGACACCATGTCCATGTCGCCGGAGGCCGACCCACCACGTCTGCCCTCTGCGGACCTCACCACTTCTCAGTTGTCAGGGGCCCAAGAGCCTCCTGGACTGCTGTGTGGCAGCCAGCGCTTCCCCTCCCTCCCTGAGCACCTGGAGACCTCTACAGAGATGCAAGAGATCCAGAGGCATGTCTCTGACCCTGTCTTGCCAGGCAGCTAGAACACCAAAACCACCTAAAAAGCCTGGACCTTCTGGACGGGACAGCCATATGTTTCCCACTCTGTTACTTCCTTTTTCCTCCCTTAAAAAAACTCCTCTGTCCTGTTCAGATGCTGCTGTAGAGCGTGGGATGCCTTGCCTTCCACGTCACTGAGGGTTCAGAGTGCCTGCTGTTTCTAACAAACAGACTCTACGGCGCCCGCACAGGCTGCTGTGGTTTTGTGCTCCAGCGTCCCTTCACACCCGAGGTTCTGTGCAATGAAGAGATTATTCCCGCCCCGCAGGGTGGGATGATTATGAAACATGAGTTGACAGTAAGCACACCAAATATATGTGCCATGCATTCACTGGATCTGAAAGCTACACAAACTGCATCCCAGGTTTCCTTGAAGAGAGGTGACATGTCAAGGACTACTAATATGTTTCACATTTGAAGAATTATCTTCATTCACTTTGTATAAGAATTGCACATTTAGGCCTTTTCCACACCTATATGGATATTTTGCAAAATTAACATTTTCCTCATTGTTTTTTGGCCTCTCATCCGCACGCAAACAGAGTTTTAGGTCAGAACTGAGATTTTCAAAGGTGCAGATTTTTTAAAAAATGTGTACGGATCGTTGAGGATGCCCATTGTTGCTTGGTGTAACAACAACCGCAACAACAATGTTTGGTAAGCACTGCTAGGCTGTGTGCCAGAAAGGTGTTCAATAACTACAAATAAATAATTAGGAACAATTTGTTTGTGTTTTTAAGTCACCATCACTAAAGGTGCGCATGCTCAGAATGTTCTTCTCTGGTATTTGACGTATTGTTGACGTAGTCTTCATCACCACCTACTGGCCTCAGCATGTTTGTTTGAGTGTTTGAAACCGTTTCTTTTTTTTTTTGCGTTCTCGTGTGTACAGAGATATTTTAACGTAGGGGGAAAACATTCGCTTTGAAAAATATCCGTATACGTGTAGTAAAGGCCTCAGACTTGAGCATAGAAAAAATGTAATCATTTACTTGGAACTGAATTTATTTTCCTAATATTAGAGATGTATTGGTCACATTAAGAACATTACATCTAGTAAATGTAATAACTATGAGTGTTATAAATTAGAGACTCACTATTGTTGTTTTGGTGTTTGTTAAAAAAAAATATCAAAAGGCAAACCTATTGCTGTTTGGCACACTGTGAAGGAGGGTGGTGCAGTGGGTGGAGAAGCACTCCTTAAAAAAGTGTAATTTTCATCTCATATTTCCTGTTCTGACATTTTGACATAAATCAGCAGTACTTAAGTTGAGCGTGTCATTTGATCAAGAGAAGGTATTGCAACGTACACAATCAAGCAGAGCAGACAAACATCATAGTTTTCTTGTACATTTACACGTAGCTCTTACAGTTTTGTTTTGATCATGACTGCTTTGCTTGGTTTCCCCCCCTGTTTCTGTGTCGGTTCAACTCAAACGTGTCAACTATTTTTTTCAAAGTGGCACGATCACATGGTTTCATAATGCACCTGATGTGTTTATCTGAGAGTGCCAGCATTAGAGGTTCTCCCTAAACATTTTGATTCACAGAGAGGATTGACTTTGATACTTAAACAGGTGAAGGGAAAAACTGCTGATGGTTGTTTTACACCAACTGAGTGACAAGGGAAGTGGATGGTAGCTGTCAATCACACACGGAAACAGAGACGTCGTCTCCAGGCGTCGCTGTTAAGATGATTTCTCAGTTCCAACCACCAGGTGAATGTAATGACTTTTTAAGCATTTATAATTCTGTATAATGTTTCTTGAAGCACAACTTCCTGTTATTTATCTTTTTTTTTTTAGATTAAAGACACACTGCAGAGTTACACTGGGAGTCCAAAATGCTTTTATTTTCTAATTACTCAGCAAAGCAACACCAAATGTCACTTGCAGTGCAGACGAAGTGACAGTAGACGTAAACTCTCTGAAAGTGTACATTGCAACTACGACTCTGATTCAACTGATTGAATTTCTTGGATGTTTTTCATGTTGGATATGCAGTCAAACCAAGGTAGGCTTTGACATGTTAAACAGCTGTATTTGATGAAGGGATGAGCATTAATTACCATCCCTATAGACAAAGCCTCACATGAGGCATCATCCACTGAAAATGCAAATAATATGCTAAATAATTTTTAATATCTTTTAATATAAAGCATTTACTCAATTGCTACAAGTACAGCATTAATTTATGTAAATTGTATGCTACCATATGCTTCTACTTCACTACATTTCAGGTGCATTTCTTACCATGGTGCATTTCTTAAACAGTAGGTGGTTAATTTGTAGATTAAGATTTTGAAAATCTATTCTAGGCACCTAAAATCAAATTCAACCCACAGTAGATAGGCTATGACTTAAAATGACCTCATATCAGTTTAGCTTCCATATTTAAGGGGTACACCAGTGACACTGGTTTGATTAACTTGGCTGAATGTCACTGGAGAAGCAGTTATCAGTACAGACAGAGTAGAGAAGAGGGATCAAACCTTGACATCTGAAATGGCTGTGTCCAGTTGGGGCTTCCAGATGTTTATGAGTTGTTTGCAGTTCCACCAAAGAGAGTTTTCACCTGTAAACTTCTCACATGGTTTCATTCAAATAACTATCCAAGGCCCTAAGAGTTAAAAATCTAATCTAATCTAATTTGCGTAGCAGAACTTTGTTTTGTTGTCTTTCCTCTCTTATTAATCATCTCATTAAAAAAAGTAGTTCCATCTCAACAACAGTAAAATGCTGCTTACCTACCTGGTCATTTTTGAAACCTTTATTTATTCAAGGAAAAGTTCACTGGGAGGAAGCCTTTTGTTTGTGCACTAACACCGTGATCACATTCAAACTGTTACACATTTATACCTAGAAGCTGTCCCATACAACCACAGACTGATCTGTGGCCACACTATTACTATTACTACTATTTAGTACTAGTACTACTTTTACTTAAGTAAGATAATAAAAATCAATGATAATAATTTGAAAGTGATAGCAATTGATGAAGATAATCCTTGTGTCTTGTATGTAACCCTGTGTAGCAGCCATCAAGTGGGCTTCTAGGAAATGGTATTTTAAGAATTTAATTTGCTGTTCTGTCTATAAAGGAAACACATTCACACCAATCAAACACTTCCTACTGTAGGAAGGCACAGCAGGAAAGAGACACTGGTCAGTCACAAACAAAACCCACAGCAATAAAATCAGGGGGTATAGCTCAGTGGTAGAGCATTTGACTGCAGATCAAGAGGTCCCCGGTTCAAATCCGGGTGCCCCCTACATGTGCCCTAGACAGATTCTTTGACAATAAAAGCAATAAAACTATATTTCATAAATACCATTTAAGGATTTATGGAGGATGAAACATCATGTGATTAGTAATGCAGAAACTAATCTCAGTATAAAGATACATGACTCAGATGTTAGCGGCAGGTATTGGCTTTGATCTGGAGGCTGCTGTGGGATGTGGCTTTAAAATCTTATCTTTTGCAATGGCTTGTACAAAATGTAACAGGTGTTACATAAAATACAAATGTGGTGGTCAGGCCTGTAGCGAGCGAACAAATCAACAATCCTATAAAGGAAGAAGTAGAAGACCTGAATCAATCCCACTCCTGTTACCCAAACCTCCGACTTCATTTGCATACGGACACAGAAATACAAAAATAAATGTAGGGGAACAAATATGTAGAAATAGATTTAATACATTTGTTTGCGTCCTGTTTAGTTAGCAGCTTTTCTGTGCATTTAATTATGTATTTCGGTGTCTATTATATTACTCATTCCTGTTTTAATGCATACATTCATATATCTATGTATATATTTATTTATTTTCATCCTCCATAAAGGATTAATTATCTGTAAACCAACTGCAATTTCACCAAACAACGCAATACAGCGACAAGTGCGTTCCTAGGACATGGAGGAATACAATTTATTAGAGCAAATTCAATAATAAACTTTATGAAAAAGCTACAACATGAACACTTGGCTTACCAACATCTCAAGTTGATATATTTATATGTATGTACATTTTGCCTTGTAATGGCATGCTACAAGGACATGACCCTTTAATTATTGAAAAACAAACAAAAAAAAGAAAGAAGAGAGGCAGACAGTCAGAAAGTTGTTTCACTCTCCTCCCATTTCACAACTCACCCTACCACAAAGAAAATGCAGCTTTCCAAGCACAGTCTTCTACAAAGAAAGAAAAAGAGGAAGAAGAGGAAGAAGAAAAGAATAAGTAGGAAGTTAAAAAGGCTGAACGTTGAATATTGTTCTGGTGGATTCAGAGTGCTGCTGTACATGGCTGCCTCACAGCATCACCAGAAAAAAACAAAACAAAACTAAAACACACCATAATGATGGGAGACACCACTGCAGTGACAATATGAATCCCTCGGGTTATTTTTACAATTTTTAAAAAATGTACGGGGTCACAAGTTCGAGCCTCGATACTACAATCATTTGGAGAGAGGATACTGGACGCACACCCATTTGAAAAATTGAACAGCTTAAGTTGCCACAGGGGTAAACGAGACTAAAACGTAATGATCTTTGAATCTTTGAGTCCACGAGAAGGCTACGACATATTCCTAAGTATTAGAGAGGTCATCTTCTGCTGCCTACGGTAGTTCGTATCAACCTTAACTCAAACAGAAGAAACACACAACATCTAAACCCTTCATGATAATCTCACAGCTGGCTGACATCACACCAAGAAGTATAAAAATCGGATTTTTCGTAGACAACTGCTTCAAGTTCAAAGCTTCTTACAGCAGCTGTGCGGAAACACTACCTTGTGAGCAAAATAAATAAGCGCTTAAACACGTTTAATAGAAGAACGATGGAAGAAAATGTAAACCAGGGTATTGTAGAGTAGGTGTGTGTGATACTCCAAAAACACGTTCACAAAAAGTTCAGTCGTGACTTCATCCCCGTCTTGAAAGCAGTGGACTAAGGAACAAACGTTAAGTCCAAATCTGAAACCACGCTCCTTCTCTTCTTTATCTAAGTGTCCGTGGCTTCAGACACGCAGGATCTCCAGGCAGTTGTTGTAGCAGATGGCGATCCAGTCCGGCTGCGTGGAGGCCCACTGCACGTTGTTGATCTCCCCTTCAGCAGTGTAGGCCAGGATGGGATCCTCAATGGCCCGTGGCATCTGCTGGATGTCCCAGATCAGAGCCTGGTGGTCGTCGGCTGAGGAAAAGAAGACATTAACAGGGATGTTTCAGACTGAAAGGGCAAGGTCCGAAGGGAATGCAGCTTCACATTGTATGAGTTTGGGCTGTTTTAGACAAAAGTTAGCAATTGTGAGAGAGAAATTTGGTGAAACTGTGGTTGTTTGTTAAAAAACGGTGGTCTTAGATCTTACTGGGACCATCGATGGCTGTTTTTAGAGCTCTGACAACCGAAGACAGGATGCCACAAGATTCTGAATTTAGGACCAAACTCTTACAAAGTGACTGTTGCAACAACCCACATTTTAAAACCAACTAATCAAACATATAACATTAAATTACGCAGAGTGCACCACTGAGTATGTGTAATGCTACTGCTAAGACACGTATTTACCTCAAACTTGTTTTTACATGTTGTTTTCCCCAACTGTGTCCGCACTGTCCTCCTTCTCTTTTGAGTTTTGTTTTGTTTTTTTTGGTACACAGAAATCCAAGTGCCAATACCGAACGATACCAGAAATTTAGTAGTCGGTACCAATACCAAAGAAAATCCGTGATTCTCAATTCTATGTCCTGATCAACTTCAGGCGGGGCTGAGCTCCTGCACACAGAGCATGTCAGACAAAACTTGTATTTATCAAAGGCAAACTCAGTGTAGAAAGATATGGGTGGCAGCAGCATCAGAAATGGATACAGGAGGTGTATTTCTTACATGTATGTGACATATTCAACAGATATAGACATTGAAACTGTAGTGAAAAGGTGCACATGTTGCTGGTATGACGATATGACCATGAACAGATCTTTTTTTTTCTGTCTATTTTTGCTGAGAACCGCTCACGTAAAGAAAACTAACGGTCATAGATGAGAGGCTAGAAACTGGGGCTGCGCTTCACAGGGTACTTCGTCGTATAATCTCTCGCGCCTCAAAACTGACACTGCACATAATTAGACCCATTTAGTGTGACATGCAATGAGCTTTTAAGACAGTCCACAATCTATAGGGGGCCTTTACCTGCAGTGCAGATGTGACACGAGGAGTGAGGGGCCCAGGCGATGCCGTTCACACAGGCGCGGTGATTGTTCAGCCGAGCCACCGGAGTGCAAGGAACACGTACATCCAGGATGACCACCTACACCCACATAGGAAGTATTAAAGCTGAGTTCTCAGTCAAAAAGTCCTCTAATAATTTATGAAATCTCAGACGCTCAGATTGGCTTACCGACAACACCATTTTAATACAAAAACAATGGGAAGAATCCACAGCAGACTGACCTCCATGCCGTCCATGGCCATTGTGGCCAAGTAGTTGGGGTCCTGCTTGTTCCAGCAGAGGCGGAGCAGCGGGTGGTGCTGAGGGTCTTCATAGATGATGGTGCTGTGCTCCAGGTGTCGGAGGTCAAACATGCGGACGGATCCATCGGCTCCCACAGAGGCAAACATATCTCTTCCACCTCCTGCACGGCTGAAGGCGATGTCGTACACCTGTACGGACACGCAAAGACATAAATGTAACTTTAACAACCACACAAGGTTTCACTTTACAGTGCACACACACACACACACACACACACACACACACACACACACGGACCTCTTTGTCATGGGCGATCAGCTGGGTCTTCACGTGTCCAGACACCAGGTTAACGCGTCCTAACACCTGACCGGTCTCCAGCCCCCAGATAGTGCAGGTGGTGTCGATGCTGGATGTGCCTGCAGAAAGAACCCACATGTTAAAACTACACAACACCAAAAGCCTCATAGGCTCCTTACTCATTGATCGCACAGCGGACTTCTTACCCAGCAGGTTGGGGTCGACTTCATTCCAGTCAAAGGAGGTGAGGGGTGCACAGAAGTCTGAGTTCTTGTTGTTATTCAGCAAACACTCGAGGCGCGTTTCTGTGTCGCTGACCTGAAATGAAAAGGAAACTGGAAGTGAGCAGACTTACCAAACCCCAGAGCTGAACAGTACACAAACTGTAACAGCAACTAGATTATACTACAGTGGAGTATGACTGAGGGGAATCATATATCAGTATGTTTTTATTCTTTTAATGGACATAAATAAACACCCTACCCTCCAGATGCGCAGGTAGTCCCCACTGGTAGCCAGCAGGTCCGGGTACACCCCTTTAGTATCAGGAATCCACATGATCTTGGTGGTGGGGTACGGGTGGTCAAACGTGTTCCTGCAGACGAACTCTGAGCTCTCCTCTTCCAGACCCACCAGCTGCACCTGGACAGGCGCAAACACATCACCTGTGATTACCAGGGCGAGCTATATTTATATATAAACAACAACAAAACAACAAAACAACAAAACACACACTGGGACTGCGCAGAAGCATTAGCGCAAGCTGGCTAACAAGACCCCCGTTAGCTTGATGAATGACTACAACCTCCTCCTCCTCCTCTTCCTCCCTTCAAACACTACGCACCTTGTTGTTGTATTCCTCCACAAAGCTCCCAAGCGCCAGCCGAAAGCGTTTGTCTGGCCGGACGCTCCAGTTCATCGCGTACACCGTCCATGGCGCCTCGTATTTGTAGATCTCTTTTCTCTTTCCGTGGAGCGACATCCTCCCCCGAGCTAGCTGCTAGCTGCTAGCTCCCTCACGAAAACTAGTTGAGTCCTGCGAGGCGGGAAACTGTCGCCGGTCACTTAACTCGCAAGAGCAAATGTGAGCAGGCGGGTCGCGATAACGCTCATTTAACGAGCCAGATCTTGTGTCAGAGCAAGATTACTCCCCACTTTGGTTAACAAAGAGTAGCATTACGCGCTACGAGCTGGAGAACCGTCGAGTTCAACAGAATAAAGGTCGCTTCCGGGTTTTTGATTTCAAAATAAAAGTTTTTTTTTTTGGGTTACTGGAAAGTTTCTGAACGAGCACTCACAATAGATAATCCGGTAGAAATAGCTGCCTCTGGCCCGTTTCACACTTTAATGAAGCCATATTTATTCAGTTTCTTGCAGATTTCCTCTTGTTTTGTGATTAACGAATGTGGAACATTCAAAATAAAAGTTTTACAATGTGGGACAGGGTGCAGTCGTGTACAGTGATCAATAGAGGGCATGGTTAGACATTAATGTGCTTTTTTTGGGGGGGAGCATAAATACACCAAATGTGATCATAAAATATCCCCACAGCATGTTGCATAATGACAATAACAATATAAAGTTCTCATTTTAATCTCCTCCTGTAATTAAAGCATTTAAAATTAAGATTTTCTACTTTGTATTTGTATATGTGGATTACAATGTTTGACTTTTTGATCAATATTGGATTTCAAGGTCATTTTATTGTCATCTAAGACACACAAACTTGTAGTATTTTTATTACTTTAATTTAGATATAGTTCCCGTTATGATACTTTTACAGAAATAAAGAATACAAAATGGATTAATGAGTCTAAAAAAGTTAAAAAAAAATAAAAACTAATTTGTATGATAATCACTGTCTTTAAGTCTTGTGGTACAGCAGCAGAAGCTTTTACCTCTTCCCTTATGGTAGCAGAGTGATCAATATCACTGATGCTGGGTATATGGATGATCTTCTGAGTGGTTTTTAATCACCCGCCTGCAGAGTAGGTTGTTTTCTGTGCACCAGTCTGCAAGATTTCCTCCCCGATATGAAGTCACATCATTGTTTCATGTGTTTGTGGCGGTCATGTTCTCAGTTATCCTGTAAGTAATATTCAATATAATAAATATATAATAACACAAAATGTAAGAAATAAAATAGAACAAATTGTTTTCACTCTACTACACTATTTACTGTTAATAAAACTATATAAAAACTATTTTTAAACTAGACCGACTTGTAGTTACCCGCTGCGGCCGCCGGAGGGCGCCAAATACCTAAAAAAAAGCTGACGTAACGCAACAACGGCTTACTTCCGGCGAATACCTTCAAAATAAAACACTCGAAAGCGTGCGCACAGTACTTTTGTTTTGAAAGGTCCGTCCTGTGTCGGGTCTGCTGCTTCAGGCGTAACATCACTACAAGGACAGTTCAGGCTACTTGAGCTCAACCAGCGTTGAGGTTTATTGTCACAGTAATTCTCCAGGTAAGCTCCCAACTCGTCGGTGTTTATTGTTTTAGTCGGGGCTGATTCCAGAGTTGTGTTTTAAGTTTAATAATAAATAAGACGCTGCTTTCTTTTCTGGTTCGGTCGCCAGCAACAAGGTGCCATGCTAGTTTAGCCACCGTTAGCATGCTAATGATAAAGTGCCAGGAGAGGGAGGGAGGGAGAGGGAGGGAGGGGGATGGGGGACATAATTACGGCTTGTGGGGTTTTAATCCGGACGTTACATATGTCGTTAGGTGAGTACGTGGTGTTAGTTTTAGACTATTAAAGAAAAACGTAGAAAGTCAGACAACACAGCCGGTGGGGTTTTTTTTTTTTTTTTTTTAGCCTGTTAGCAAGCGTCAAAGCTTGGAAGTTAGTGGTGCTAGTCGACGCTTGCTGGTCGGATTCAACCACATACCAAATACAGCTCCTTAAGTTTGACTAAGTTGAGCCTTTACGGTGTTATTGAAGTGTTTTTATATTCATATACTGCAGCTTGACTCCATTTTTAGTAGCATTAATAAAGTGACAGCACTTAGAGACATTCAACGTTTCCCAATGTTGGCACACAGGAGTTCCTCTTCCTCCTTAGTCATTGTTTTCTAGTTAGTCTCGGTCCGCAGGGATTTTATTCTGTGTGGGATTCATCACGTGAATGCTCAGTGCACTCACCTGGTTACTGTAATACTAATAATATAATATAATATCTGTAATATAATGTAACCTATGCACAGTTTAGCCGTTATAGCCAGAGGCCACAACAGGACACTATAATGTGAAGGCAAACCCTCAGGCCTCCATTTAAAGACAGCTAAAACACAACTACCCTGCAGTTGCAACTGATTTGATCTCTTCGTCCTTCACTTCTTGTTCCTGTTGTTAATTATTAGGCACGTTAACCTCTGGCATTTGACCTTCTCTGTCACTCCTTCAGCCACCCTTGTTTACACATGTCTCTGACGATGTTTACACATTGTCAACCCTTCTCTCACTCCTGCTCTTCCACTTTCTCTTGGTGCAGGTCCCACCATGCGAAGTGCGAATCTCCTCCTGATTCCCGCTCTGCTGCTCCTCCTGGCCCTTCCTGTCTCCAGGGGACGCTACAATGATGACTTTGACGATGGCGAGGACCTAGCAGACTTCGATGACAATGACTTTGCTGAGTTTGAGGACATGAACGACGATCCGGCAGCCGAGGCTGAAACTGCCCCTCCGCCTCGTGTCTCGCCGTCCTCGCAGCCTGAGGAGGATGAAGATGAAGACGAAGCCACCGTGGAGCTGGAGGATGGCCAAGACGGTTTCGATGACTCGGAGACACAGGTACACGGCCTCGTGTTACTGTTTACATCTTAAATTTGGAGCACAGCTTCCACAATAAATATTATTTATAGCAACATATTGATTCATGTAGAATCTATAGCAATTCAACGTTATGTTTCCGTAGGATCAAGACATGTACAGCAAATATGACCAGGAAGAGTTTGAGGGGATTGGAGACATGGAGAAGACAGGCCACTCCATGAAGGACCCCCTCATAATCCACACGGTAAGCCGGGCTTATTGCTAAAATCTTCTCACATATTGCGTTCTGCTGATTGTGATCTGCCTCGGCTCTGAATGTGCACACGATTCCTGCTGTGAATGCGTTTGTGTTTGTTGCATTAGAAGGCTTAAATTAACAATTTATCTCTTGTCGTTTGTAATGGAAATGCTGTTTTGTAGCTGTGGGAGGCCACTGCGAGGAAATATTAAATCAGTAGAAATGCAGATTACTCCACTGTTTTGTAGCTGCTGTTGAATTTGGCTGGTTAATGAGGATGCATCATTTACATAAACTGTTGTCATGGAAGCTCAGCAAAGGCCACACTGAAACTGTAGCCTTTGTAAACTCCTGGATCCTAAATTACCATTGTTTTCACTTACATTGATACTGTATCTGCAGATATATTGGTATTGATGTTGGCCAACATTTAACAAGAAATAACTGTTTCTAACTTCTAATTTAGAAACAGTGTTATCAATACATTGTTTATTCACCAGAGAGCACTGACAAGCTCTAAAAGGTCCCACTTTATTACACATCCTGGTTACAATTCTTTAAAAAGAAATAAATCTAAGGCATCCACATCAAGATTTGGTTATGTTTTTTTTTATTAATCTTGGTTGAGCTATAAAACTGACAACCGCTTGCTGTTTCTCTGCAGGTTCCTGCACATCTGCAGAACAGCTGGGAGAGTTACTACATGGAGATCCTGATGGTGACCGGCTTGTTGGCCTACATCATGAACTATATCATCGGCAAGAACAAGAACAGTCGCCTCGCTCAGGCCTGGTTCAACTCACACAGAGAACTTCTAGAGAGCAACTTTGCACTAGTGGGTGAGTTGTCTCGAGTATCCAAACGGCAGTGTATGAAATCCAACCGAATGTGCTTGTGTTCTGTCTCTCGTTATGAAGCAGTGTTAATTGTTAGTCATTTGTACGTTATAGGTGACGACGGCACCAGTAAAGAAGCAGTGAGCACTGGGAAGCTGAATCAGGAAAATGAACACATCTACAATCTGTGGTGCTCCGGGCGCGTGTGCTGTGAAGGCATGCTGATCCAACTCAAGGTATGGACAGTGTGTGTTCTCAATGTGTAAGTGTGTGTTGTGTTAAATATACAGTCCATGTAATGTTCCTTTGTGGTCTATCCCAGTTTCTGAAGAGGCAGGACCTGCTCAACGTTCTGGCCAGGATGATGAGGCCTGCCTGTGACCAGGTGGTACGTATCAAGTCAAACATCAGTTCAGATGAGTCGTTGTGGAGCACAAAACACGGACACACTGGACTGTGCCTTTTTTAAGGTGCCCCTCGCAGTCACAATCATTGTCTCACCAACAGCATCTGTCTGTTTGTAGCAAATCAAAGTGACTCTTAATGACGAGGACATGGACACCTTTGTGTTTGCTGTGGGAACCAAGAAGGCCATGGCCAGGCTTCAGAAGGAGATGCAGGACTTGGTAAATATCCTCCACCGCTTACATTAAATTGATGCAATCTTAAACTATCTTTATTATACAGGACTATTGTTACTACTCAAATGGATCAGCTTCATTCATGTTTAAATTGTTGCTCACAGACATTTTTTCATTGTTTTTCCAACACGCCATTCGATTTTGTTCTTTTTCCATAGAGTGAGTTCTGCGGGGACAAGCCTAAGTCTGGGGCCAAGTATGGGATCCCAGACGCCCTGACTATTCTAAGCGAGATGGGCGAGGTCACAGATGGGGTGATGGACAACAAGGTAAAGTCTAGTCTTATCTCTCATACAGCATCACTACAAAGAGGCTCTGATGAATAGTGAACAGGGTTTTCTTGATTTGGCTCGTGTGTCTGAATCTGTCTTTGGTATTTATTTTTTTTTAGATGGTGCATTATATCACCAACCATGCTGACAAGATTGAGTCCATCCATTTCTCGGACCAATTTTCTGGTCCAAAAGTTATGCAAGAGTAAGTATTTATTTAATCTCTGTAATCCCTTGCATGTTTAGCATTTTCTTACTTTCTATGTGGTACTAAAGGTCCCCATGTTTGTTTCTTCAGGGAGGGTCAGCCCTTAAAGCTGCCTGAGACCAAGAAGACGCTGCTGTTTACATTTAATGGTGAGCATTTTGTCTCTCTTACTATCTGAAGAAACCTCATGATAGTTTCATCTAACTAATATACACTGAATGTTTGTGTGTGTGTGTGTGTGTGTGTAGTGCCTGGCATGGGCAACACCTCTCCCAGAGACATGGACGCTCTGCTCCCACTCATGAATATGGTGATCTACAGCATCGATAAAGTCAAGAAACTGCGTCTCAACAGAGAGGTGAGCAGGATTCTAGCGCTCTGGTGCCTGATCTAATTAACCCCTCACCTATGTGCTCTACTTTGTGCTTTTTAAATGAACGTTTAAAGTGCCGCTACGAGTCCCTTTCGTCTTCTCTATATTTAGGGCAAACAGAAAGCTGACAGAAACCGGGCCCGTGTGGAGGAGAACTTCCTGAAGCAGACTCACGCTCAGCGTCAGGAGGCGGCCCAGACACGCCGGGAGGAGAAGAAGAGGGCTGAGAAGGAGAGGATCATGAATGAGGAGGACCCTGAGAGACAACGTCGTCTGGAGGTCTGAAATTGGCAAAACCACATGCAAATTTTGGGGGAATTTGCTTTCTTGCCAAGAGTTACATGAGAAGATTTCTAACACTCTCACATCTTTACGGTAGAGCCAGCTGCCAGTTAGCTTAGCATAAAGACTGAAAATGGGACAAAAACAGCTCGACTGTCCAAAAATAACAAATCTACTTGCCGGCACCTCTAAAACTAGATTAGCATTTTATATCTTGCTTGTTCAATCTGTAAAAATGATCATTATACATTTTACAGACATTTTCTACAGGAAATTACTGCTCCCAGCTAAGAAATACTCTGGCCCATAACACCCTGTAAAACCATAATGTTTCAGTTTTACACAACAAACGATATATAACTTGTTAATTAAGCTTTTAAAGGTGTTGGTAGGTACGTTTTGTTACCTTTGGATGGAGCCAGGGTGGCAGTTTCTTGTACGTATGCGAAGCTAAACCAGCTGCTGGCTGTAGCTTCATATTTACATCACAGACACGAGTCAGTCTTCTCATCTAACTCTCAGCATGAAAGCAAAGCAGCATATTTCCTAAAATATCAAACTATTCTTTTTAAAGCACACAAATAGAGTAATTCACTGAAAATGTTTTGTTTTGTTCTCTCTTCTCAGGAAGCAGCCCAGAGGCGCGAGCAGAAGAAGATTGAGAAGAAGCAGATGAAGATGAAGCAGATCAAAGTGAAAGCCATGTGAAAAGGGCCACTACAGGGATCGTGATACCACAAGCACACATGAAAGCAGTGCTCAGCTCAGACTAGTTTTCTCTAACTTCTCTGGCTCACAGTCGCTCCAGCTCTTAACAGACATCCTGTGCCTCCGGGTGTGTCAAGCTTTAGCTGTCTCTGTCACCACCTGCTCCATTTGGTGTGGCTAAACCTTAATGACTGAGAGTGAACTGTCCATGTCACTCGTGAGGGACTTTTTCACCATCAAACGTGTCACCACAATTCACACCAGGATTTTTTGTTTTTCCTGTTTCTGTCCAACCATCTCTTCAAAAATGTCATCAAAGCTATGTAGCTCGGTGAGCTTTTTAAACCCAATCTGCTGGAAGAGAACACACTATTTTGTGGTATCGAGCCACATTTTAAAAGGAATGAAAGCAGAATTTATTAGCATTAATATAATACGATCGAGGAAATTTTAATTTATATCTGCTACGAGATTGGTTTCTTGCAGGCTGTTTCTAATGAGTATCTGAGCAAACATAATAAAATGCACTGGAGTCTGTTGGGAAACTGTTTCCTGTTTTTGTTTTTAATGGTAAAAATTTCATGTAATTGATCTGATTTACAAGGCAGTCGATGATGATGAGGGGCGGTGGGGTTGCAGTACAGTTGTGTACAATATAGAAACTGATTCACAGACCTCTTGGTAAGCAGCAGTTCAAAGGGTGGCGGTCTATAACGGGGACCAGAATGGGTGAGGCTTATCGCTAAATATAACTTTTAAAAAGTGTCAGCAGTCTCTGAACTAGATTTGGTTACATCAGTGGGGTTGGCAAGCAAAAATGGATACAATGACTGTCTATGCAGATGTAAGTCTGGGTGTAGTCAAACATGTGATCCACTTTTGGTAATAGATTTATTTTGATCACACTACTTCCAAATGTAATGCAATTATTTAATAATTATAATATAATAATAAATTACTAAAGAGTTAAATGACACAACAACAAAAAAATGCAGGTTATCAACAATATTTAATGCTACTGAATGGGATTATGTTATAATAGTATGATGGTAGCCACCCTTTGTAATATGGAGATCCAAAAGGGCACAGAGGACACAGTATAATGTACTTCCATAAATTAGACTTAGACTTTATTTGTCATTTGGATTTGCATCAAAATGAAATTACGTTGCAATGGCACATAGCACAGCAGAAATAAAGGGGAGGCAGTATGTACAAAAATAGATATGCAATATAAAAGAGAAAAAAACCTGTAAGATAATAGAAACTTTTGTATATAATACAAATAAGATAAATAAGATAAATATATATTTTGTATAAAAGACAGATAACATAGCTAAGATAAATATAATTTCCCAACAGTATGACGGAGAGATCCTAGTGGAGCGGTCCTGTGTAGGTGTGTGGGTGAGGAGGGGGAGGCAAGGGGGAATGGTTATACAGTGTTCAGCAGTCTTATGGCATGTGGAAAGAAGCTAATGTGTATTCTCTCAGGTTTTATTTTACCTGTTTGTGGTTTAATTCATACAATATATTAAACAAGGGCAAAAGATTGCCACACTTTGAGAGAATAATACGTAACTGAGTCACACAGCGCATTATATATATATACAAAGTTCCACATTTGAGTGTTTAATTTGTGACGTTTTGGCTTTTTGTTCTTCATATTGATTGAAATTCAGTCACTTAATCATATGAATCTTCTCCAGCAATGCATACACGACGTTAATCAATACAGGCCACTTGACTGATTGCAAACATTGGAAACACGGTCTTTAGGTGTTCGTTTGGGGCCAGTTTCTGAATCCAACAGACCACAACAATGTACATTTACTCAGTTATTATGTACAATTTTGAGGTAGTTGTACTATAACATATCCATTTTATTTTCTATTTATTGAACAACTGTAGTTATGTATCTTTATAAGGTAAAATATGAATTTAAACTTCATAACAGTATACAGCAGGTAAAATTAGCTCCGGCTGCACCATTAAAATGCTGCTTAAACATCTGTGCATCAGTAATAGCAATCAATTAATAAAGTAAAATATAAAACACAGACAGGGGGACATTTTGCATTTTTCTAATAATACTTTTTTTATAATACTTTAAAATAAGATGTTTCTTTATTGATCCCCTGTGGGAGAAATTCACATCTCACACAGCAGCATGTGTAAAAATTACAATAAAGAATAATAAGTAAACATATTATAAAGATATAATAGAACCTATAAAGACTATAATTAAAAATATATACACTGTGCAGTATGCAAGTAAGAGATAAGGAGAGCAAAACATATTAATTAAACTTTACATGAGCAAAATATTTAAATTCCAAGAGCACTTTCTACCAACATTCACTGAATACTAAATAAAAATGTAATATTATGTCTGCTTCATATCAAACAGGATTATAGGGGCTCATTATTAGTAGCTGAGCTGTCATCGATCAGCCTTTAGGTGGCGCTATGGTCACTTTTCTAGGTTTGAGCTTTGTATGCGCAGATTCCAACATTTTCTTTCAACTGTACAAATTTAACCATAATTTTTTTTTTTTTTTAGTAATTTACGCAGTCAAAAAAAAAAATTCTATTTATATAATAAAACTACAATCTGATCTTTTTTTTTTTACATCGATGTAATATCCAATATTTTTATCCCCCCCCCGGGTAAACGAAGCTGACGAAAGTACCGCTCTGAAACCGAAGCCCTCATTCACAAACACTGATGGAGAACAGGCGAGGCTTTCAGGTTGGTTACGCGATGGCGGCTCTCTCAACAATATAACGTTTTTACAGCGAAAACAAAACCTCCACCGCCCACAGCGGCGTGTTGTCGCCTCGACTAACCACCGGAATGCTATCGGCTTCGTTTTAACTCGTCAAACTTGCTCCACCGCGGTCCGGGAGAGCTCCTTCTTCGGCGGGGGGGACTCTGTTTTTCTTGCCCGTCTCCCGGGCCTGGCTGCGGCTGCCTACACGGTAGCGGCGGGGGTTGGATGTCGGATGAGCGGGCACTCACAGCTTGAAGAGGTTGGGGGGGATCTTTTATAGGTCGGTCGGGCAACCAACGCGAGGGCAACGAGGGCTGCGGTAGGTGAGGTGAGGTGAGGTGAGGGGGGGCAATGAGATGAAGAGTTTTGACTCCTCAACTTGGTTGTTTTGTCGCTAGTTAGCATTAGCTCGAACAGACAGCGGTAACTTGGCCCTCCTCCTCCTCCTCCTCCTCCTCTTCACCTCCTCCCTCCTCTTTGAGCTAACGCGAGACGGCATAAGTAATTTAACATCGGTTGAGGGTCTCCAACCGCAAGCACCCGCCGCTACCGTTGTCTTGCGGGGTGCGGGGGGTGCGGGAGGGAGGGGGGGGGTTAAAACCCGCGTTTTAACGTGAACTCTTGTGTCTGCGCAGGAAAAACGCAGTTTCTGTTGCGGGTTGTCGGCGCAGCTCCGCAGCTAGCACGTTGCTAACCGGACTAACTGGCGAGTGACGTAAGGCTGGTCATTGTTTTGACAGCACGCAGATTTTGAGTCCGATTGCGGGGCAACCTGCCCCGCTTATTACCCCCGCTTATTACCCCCGCTGTGCCCGCGTCTTCCTCCGCCTTTTTCCTTCTGAGTGCGCCGTTAACAGATGAGCGGTTGTTTCAGGGCTCGCCGATGTGACGCAGCTCGTCGTGCTGTTGCCCTGACGTTTATCGATACAGTGAATTCACCAAACACTGGTCACATGTGCTTCTTTTAAAATTTATTTATTTATTTATTTATTTGTTTTGCTGTGATAATTGCTGCACCGTAGCTTTATTTATTTGCGTGGTTTAATTTGTAAACGCCTCGCTTCTTGGTTTGTTTTTGTTTTTGTTTTTTTTTTGCTGCACCGTCTGAAATGATGGTTTTCCACTGATACTCAGTTGTAGGATGGATCCAGACGGTGGGGCAGATTCACAAAAGGCTGTCAGTTTGCAGTGGAAGAGCTACAAACTCGTCCAGGACCCAACTATTCGGAGGGTCACACAGAAAATCTACAGATACGATGGAGTTCATTTCAGTGTGCCAGTGAGTTGTTGTCCTTTTTTTTAAATTATTATTATTAATTACCTCTATAATGTGTCTTTTGAACTGCAACTACGGCTGGAGGAATGGATTAAATCATAATTTGAATGCAAAAAAACTAAACTACAGATGTTGTAATGGGGGGATGTACAGCTGTTAAGGACCCAATTCACCCCGCCACTAATACATATAAAGTGTATGATCAGTTTCCCATAACATCCCGTATGTGAAGCCCCAGTGATAAGACATATGGTGTCTTTTGTAGCTGTAGTATTTGATAAAAATTGTAAATTGGGTATGCTTTTCTATTTATTTTTTGTGATTATTATTATTAGTTTTATTAGGGATTTTCTTTTAGGCCCTATCGTCCAGCCCTAACTGTGACCTGTATACATTTTCCAGGACTCTGGATTTCCTCCTGTGGGTGAACTGCGGGACCCTAGGCCCCGGAGACTATGGTCCAGGTATACAGAACTGTCCATGCCAGTGCCGAAGTTTAAGGTGAGAATAGGCGGTCGACATCAATTTCACACAACACAGCCGCTTCGTCTATTGGAATTTAAACTATTATTCCCTGATTTCTTCTTCACAGCTTGATGAGTTCTATGTGGGTCCCATACCCCTCAAGGAGGTGACCTTTGCTAGACTCAATGACAACATCAAGGAGCCCTTCTTGGCTGAAATGTGTGCCAAGTTTGGTGAGGTGGAGGAGATGGAGATCCTTTTTCACCCCAAGACCAGGAAGCACTTGGGACTGGCCAGAGTGTTATTTACTAGCACCAGAGGAGCCAAGGACACAGTCAAGCAACTGCACAACACTTCTGTCATGGGTAACATCATTCATGCTCAACTGGATATAAAAGGTAAGCTGAAACACCCAATCCTATGTGTCTTTAAAGTGTGAGGTGGTTATAAGACTTGAAGTTGCAGTGACAAATAATAAGGCAGTGACTAATTTGTGTCGTGCACATTGAACCACAGCGAACCCAGAGAGTGCTTATCTCTCGAACCCGTTGCTTTAATAATTGAAAAACATAGATTTTTCCTCTCAGTCTGGGTCTGTACACACATAGTAATACACACTGTGAAGCAAAATCATGTAACATACGTGCCAGTATTTTATTGTGTTTATTATTATTAAGAGATGTAGTGTCTGAGAAAATACTGAAGATGTTTTTTGAAAAAAAACTGTATCATGCAAGTCCACTTATTTGCACCTTTTATTCAAATTTGTACCAAACGTGAGTCACTTGTTCCTTGCACAAGCTTCCCACAAACTTAAACTGAAAATCTTTTATGTCCTGCTCACTAACAAATGGACCAATAAGCAAATGGGACAAAAACAACCCATACATTAGCTGGTTCGTGGTGGAGGCAGTTAAACCTAATGGAGTTTGTCTTTCATTCCTCATTATAAGTAGATACAATTTATGTCTGTGCTGAGCTCAGTTCACAACCTGTATTTATTTTCTGTGGCTTATGTGTTTTCTTTCCC